CTTTGATTGGTCCCAAAGATAAATATGTCATCTACATACAAACATAACGACTCTATTACCAGAATCATCAAACATTGTATATACAATTTTGTCTCCTTGGTTTAACATAAACCACTTAGAAAAAACCACACCATCAAACCACTAGACAAATCCATATTTGTCTAGCACTTCGTAAACGCCGAATAGAGAATTAGACAAATTAACCATTGAGTATGTGACCTACCCAAAGGCAATTTTCATTCTTCTATTTCTCCATTTTACGAATCATTCTCCTTCTTCCTCATCTTCAAATCATCCCTCTTCCAAGTTACCTTCCTGATATGGAATACACCATGAGACTTGTACGAAGAAAAACCATCTTCTACTTCCATCGATGAAATACCCATCATCGAAAATTCTCATAATTCCATAGACCGGAACCGGTTTCTTGTAAAGAGCGGTTTGAGCCATCGTACCGGAAAATATTCTTTTCGATTGTTGGGACTTTTACGGGACGAGGGTATACGTACGATAGCCCGAGACCGGGTGACCAGGATTGTGATAGAGTCGTGAACAACGTTCACTTTCCGAAAAGAATATTTCCACCCTCAACAAGCCTAGGGTTACAGGAAATTTCTCCTGAGGATAAAACTATCACCACTTTAGGTTCTAGACTTAAGTACCTAAAGCATACTTGGAAGTTTAGTAGGAAGAAGAATGAATATTTTTGTGTTCTCTCCCACCAACCGATACCATCTATTTATAGATTATGAAACCATATCTACTTCATAACCAAAGTGATACAATGTTTCACGGTTGGCAGATAGTTAAAATTGAATAGGTGCATCCATTCAGCCAAGAGACGTACATGTTTGTTGATTTCAAAGCCAATGCAATACCGCCACCATGCAATGGACGTATAACTTTGTCCATTCAGCCAAACGTTGGATGGTTTGGCAAAAGGACACATTCCTTTCAAAATGGACACACGTATTGGCTGAGTAACATTAGTTGGTTTGGTTGGTTTAATCGCAAACCGGTTGGTCGGTCCAACTCAAAACCGGTTTGCCTTGGTTAGTCCGGTTCAACCAAATTTCCAACAGAAAATTGGAACCTCTATCGAGTTGAGCTCTTTTAGCTACACTATCAGTAAACTCGTAACCTATAAAAGATACCGTTAGAGAGGGATAAATTCCCTAAATACACATAAAACTAAAACAAATTCCTAAACTATCACATTTATAAAAAAAATTCCAAAATACCTAAGTTTTGAGTGGTTCGAGTTTGAGGAACTCGAACTACTAACCGGTTCGAGTGTAGGAGACTCGATCTAGTCGTAGATCGATGATATAAGCCTCGAACCATGTGGGGCTGAAGTGGTTTGAGTTTAGTGAACTCGAACCACTCCTTTGAAATTTCCAACCACCTTAACTTTGTGCTCGATTATCCGATCGTGGCAAAGTTTTTTTTACATTTCGCATAACTTTTCGAGTACTACAACTTTTACAATAGAAATATTTTCAGAATATATGTGAAAATGTGAAAATTATTAATTAATGTTACTCCCAAAACCCCTTATATTAAAAATTATTCCTATTTTGAAAATTTATTCCTAGTAAATGTTGTAGTACTCAAAAAATTATGCAAAATATAAAAAAAAAAAACTTTGCGACGTTTGGATTGCGGAGCACAAAGTTATGATCTTCCAAAATTTGACAAATTCGAAAATTTGCTCGTTTATGGGTAGCAAATGACGTTTTCTAGGAAGATAGCCATCTAAAAATTTCTCGTTTGGAAAAATATTTCTCTTTTGGCAGAAATTTCCTATATATATAAAAAATTCCCGTGCCTTCACCCCAAGAAAATGTCATTTGTTACCCCTAAACGAGCAATTTTTTTATTTTGCCAAACTTTAGAGGATCATAACTTTGTGCTCCGTAATCCAAAAGTTGCAATGTTTTTTTTTTATTTTAAATACTTTTTTGAGTACTACAACATTTACTAGGAATAAATTTTCAAAATAGGAATAATTTTTAATATAATGGGTTTTGGGAGTAACTTTAATTTTCACATTTTTACATATATTCTGAAAATATTTCTATTATAAAAGTTGTAGTCCTCAAAAAGTTAGGCGAAATAAAAAAAAAGGTTGCTACGATCGGATAACCGACCACTTCAGCCCCAAATGGTTCGAGGCTTATATCATCGATCTACGACTAGATCGAGTCTCCTACACTCAAACCGGTTAGTAGTTCGAGTTCCTCAAACTCGAACCACTCCAAACTTAGGTATTTTGGGAAATTTTTTTTATAAGTGTGATAGTTTAGAAATTTATTTTAGTTTTATGTGTATTTAGGGAATTATCCCGTTAGAGAGTTGCTCTCAATTAGTCACGAAGTCAACCTACTTCGTGAGATAAACTCAAATAAGCCACCAAATCAAATTAGCTTGAGCGCCTTGCAGCTTGATAAGATCTAGCTCAAAAGTTACTCATTTACTAATAGCCTTTTCCAAATGTACGTAGGGTTGCAGATGAACAAAGTTGCTCTCAATTAGTTTGGTGTTTTTAGAGAAATTTTACAATGCTATATAGTATTGGTGCTATAGGTTTTTGTCTTTATGGTACAACTTAAAATTGTACATTTACGTTATGGTACAACTTCAGATTGTACCTATACTTTTTGTACATATACTTTTATGGTACAACTTGAACTTGTACCTTTATGTGATGGTACAACTTCAAGTTGAAGTTGTACCATCACATAAAGGTACAAATTGCTTTATGGTACAACCTAAACTTATACATTTAATGTTATGGTACAACTTTGAACTGTACATTAAAGCATTAATGCTATATAGCATAGTAGAAGTGCTCGTGTTTTTATCGGGAAAAAGACGTTCGATTGGTAGTTTGACAAGCCGGTCAAATAAAGAAAGGGAAAGCAATAGAAAAAGAAAAGGAAAACACCCAACCCAAAGAGCTGTTTTGGAATACCACATTAACCAAAAAAAAAAAAAGTAACCATTGAGCAACTAAAGTTGGCATCATTTTCTTAATAAAAATAAAAGAAATTCTGTCCAAAAGTTGTCATCATTTTCTTAATAAAGTTAACAACAAAGGAAGACACATTAACCTTGTAAGCAAGCATCCCATCCCATTGTATCCAACTTTTGGAAAAGATCGAAAGGGTCCGAACCACAAACATTGCCTCCAAACTATTTAAATGTTGACCAATGACCCTCATAGACTTTTTCCTTTTCATTTTCGTCCACTTTCTTTGGCAGTCATAAAACAATTTAATTAATTATTTTGGCATAAAACACCGATGCAAAGCTAGGTATGAATGGAACAATGTTAGTTACACTTATCCAATCGAATTAAATCAGAGCGTGTAAAAGATTCTCAAACTCAATTCCATTAATCTAAAAGTCCAGATAGATATATCTCATCAGTAGATTATTAGATTCCAATTCTCCCCATTAAGTCACGATTATGATGTTGTGCTGCTAAAAAGATTGCTTACCAGAAGAAGGCATAATACACTCATGAAAGATTGGGGGAAGAAAAGGAAGGAAAAGCAAAAGGTATAAAGGTAAAAATAACCCACTTTAAAAGGCATATAAAATAAGGAAAGTGGGAAAGTGCTCATTTTTCTCCCCACAAAAGGCACATCTCATGGCTTTTTAATCAACTTTCTTGATCCCAACTTAGCTTTCATTTTATCTCATTAGTGGCTTTGCTTTTATGTTCATGACCATGAGGACCGGAGAACACATATTTTCATTTATGAAAGAAAAATAAATAATGAAGCGAAAAATTAAAATTTTTGTTGGGTGAAAATCAAACGTAATTTTTGAAATATTTGTTAATCAAATGCAGTGAGTAGGTGTTGACTATTACTGGCTAATGGCATGACTTGATGTTTTGTCACGTTCGCCTAGAATTTTTTTTCTTTTTCGAATTAGGTTGTTACTTGATAATACTACCTTAATTTGTTATCTCTGAAGTATAAAATGCGCAACTGTAGAGTTAATTATCATTTTTAAAGATCGAATTGTTCGTTTTAAGTCCACATATTAGATTTGATCTTATAGTATTTGATCCCTATAAACGGATGGACAAAGAATACCAAGAGTTATACTACTTTTAACCATTAAAAAAAAAAAACAGAATTATACTACCTTTTCAATCAAAAGTACTTGATGAAACCTTCAAACTTTTCCTTCTAGAGGCTGTCATTTCTTATAAGTACAAAATATCTAAATCGAAAAGAAAACTTCTAACCAAGTCGGAATCAACGTCGAAGTCGCTCTTGTAGTAAGTAAGTGGTAGTAGCAGAACTCACAACTTTGAGGGTATCAGTTGAGTGCAACAGTGTCAGAAAGGGAAAAGTGCGAGCACAAGGTTCTACTTTGATTCTAACCCAAAAAAAAAAAAAGAGTGTATAAACCAGCTAGCTTATAGCTAAGGGCAGTGTGTAGATGTTGTTCTCTTCCTTATTCCTTTCCTAACCTTTTCCCCATTTCCCCTTTTGCAATACTCCAAGTGCCCTTTGACACTTTGTAACGCGACATACACGTAGAAAATGGAGCCCACGGATTAGACTTTTACCCAATATCCCTTGCTAATGAAGCAAAACAACAAAGCCAAAACCACAGGGAGAGGAAGAGGGGAGAATGGCCATTGCTAATGGGAAAAGGTAATATAATTAATTATTAATAGTTTAAAGAAGAAGAAGATGATGATGATGAGTAATGACGTGGACAAAAAAGCTCAATCATCAGCTTTTTCACGCCACCTACTCATTTTTCCTTAATGAACCCTTCTCAATAAATTAAAATAAATAATTATAATCCTTAATATTAGCTAATTAATATCAACACAATATACATTTCTTCTTTTCAAAATAAAAACAAACCTAACTCCTTCCTCCCAATGTCCTTAAACTACTCCTCCCCTCCTTTTCCACACAACCTTTTTCCCTCTCACTATATATATACACATCTCACTCTTCCTTACATTTGCTCTTCCATGTACAAAACCATATAACCAAATCCCAACTCCAAAACGAAACAACAAAACAAATGGTAATCCAAGAAGAGGGGATCAAGTTATTTGGAAAGACCATCGCCGTGCCGGCGGTAAAAGCCACCGTCAAGGAAGAGAGCCATCACGTCGGCGACGAAAAGGAGGATCACGATGACGGCGGCAGCGGCAGCGACGGCGATTCGCCGAGCTTGGACAAGAAGCCAGACAAGATAATCCCGTGCCCTAGGTGCAAGAGCCTCGAGACCAAATTCTGCTACTTCAACAACTACAATGTCAACCAGCCCCGCCATTTCTGCAAAGGCTGCCAGCGCTACTGGACCGCCGGCGGGGCCCTCCGCAACGTCCCCGTCGGCGCCGGCCGCCGCAAGAACAAGCCCCCTGGCGCCCGGATCAGTCCTCCCGCCAGCGGGTTCTCCGATGGGGTTCATCATCCGTTTCAGGTGGACGCCGCGGTGGTTGAGGAGTGGCAATTGGCGGCGGCGGCAGGTGGGTTTCGGGATGTTTTCCCGATCAAGCGGCGGCGGTGCGACTCAGGTGGTCAACCGTGTGTAAATTAGCTAGTTTTTGGTTTTTACTAAATTATTGATTCCCCTTTTTGCCCCCCCCCCCTCCTTCCTCCCTCGCTCTCTTTGAATTCTCCGCTTAGAAATTATTATGTAAGTGATCATATCATAATCACATGTATATCGGAAAGAAATTATTATAAAAGATGTACAAATCTAACCATATCCAAGTTTGTTCTGTTTCGTATTTGATATACCTAATTAATCAGCCAAATCACAACGAAATTAAGCTGGCAGTGATGATAACTGATGACATTTTTTCAAGTATTTTATCAGCCCTCAATATGAATGGAGAAGGCAGAAAATGAGGGTTTAAATTTTGAATTTAAAGTTCAGAATTGCTCGATCAAACTTAAATTACCTAATCTCTTAGGATGGGAAATTGAAGTCTAAATCTTTAGATTAAAAACAATTAAAAGATTCTAACTATACCAATTGTTGGTAAAATTTTCAAAACATTCAATTAAAAATTAGAGGGACTCAAAAACATATTGATAAAATAAGTAAACAAATGGATAAAATACGAAAAAAATAATTTTATAAATGAAGATGTAGATACTCTCTTATTATGAAAATTTTGATAAATTTATGCTTCAAACTAGGGGTGGGCACATGGATGGGTAATCCAGGGATTGATATCGATCCACCCGCAAATAACCCAACCTGCATGCAGCGGGTGATTGATGTGGGTGGAATATTGCGGATCGATAAATCTCCCACCTGCACTTATGTGGGTGGGTGGGTGGGTGGTGGGTGGATTGTGGGTCACCCGTATGACTCGCATCCGATTTGTACATGAAAAATATTGTGTCTTATAGTATCGAATATTCATCATATTTTCGAACTGCGCTACAGTCTGACCATATACTTCAAAAGGTAGAGAATAAAGAATAGTTTTGACTACTATTATTGGTTATTGTATTGTGAAATATCCATTAGATATTTTATATTCGTATGCAATTTATTGTTAATATCCATAAAATATTGGGATGCAAATTATAAATTATTAATTGTATCAAAACCATAAATTATTGATACAATCTTACTAATTTGCTATGAAGTTATTATAAATGTTAGTTCAACTTTCTTAATGGCTAGTTGGAGAATTGCTTTTACGGGTTAATCCATGATCCAACCGCACCCATCTGCCACCCACCCAACCCAATCCGCAGAATTATTCCAACTTGCTAGTAAGCAGGTGGGTTAATTTGAAACCAAAACCCACACAACCCGCAATTGTCCACCCCTACTTCAAACCCTTTTCTGCAACAAAATCCTAGTAGGATAAACGATGAGGGAGTTTGAACTTTGCAGTTTGATGGAGACTTGGTAAGTAGTAAGATTTTATTGCCTAGTAGGATAAACGATGAGGGAGTTTGAACTTTGTAGTTTGATGGAGACTTGGTAAGTAGTAGGATTTTATTTATCAGTAACTAATTAAAGAATTAGCAAAGCTGTGCAGGTTGTGTAAAATTCTTGACAGAATACTAATCAACTTTTGTTTTTGTACGTACTCGTGTGTCTTTGTGTGTATGTACACACTACAAAAAAGGCTCAAGTGATCAACGATAAAAGTTGGAGCGTTTCTCTAATCTAACCAAATGGGTTACGTACAAATATATACAAAGGAGCCCTTCCTTCCTTTTCTGGGCTTCAAGTTTCAACCATATTTTGGCGTTTATGAAGAAAATGATACCAAGAAAATCAAAGAGACTGTTTGTTTCTATGTTTTTTTTATTAGAAAAACTTGATGTTTTAATATGAACGCGAATACTATAAGTGTAAATATGACAGAAAGACCTATTAGGCTGCAATTCCCTTTCATACCATCTCTTGTCAACCAAACCAAACTAAATTTCCATTTTCTTTTATCCAGCGATGGCCTCTTGCCTTCCTAATCCTATCTGGGAGTGACACCAATCTCAATATGCTCCAAAAATTTTAATTGAAAAAAGCGTTATATTCATCTCAATTTTGTACATATGAGCAACTCTATCACAACTCTCATAAAATCGTAAAAACTTATTAAAATGAAAAATTCACAATTTCCAGTTTACAACTTGTTCGAATTTATCTTATGATGCACACAAATATCTGAAAAATCCATGCTAGCAAAGAATTATTATATTCAAGTTTTTTGTCCTGTTGGTGACTAGGAGAAGTTTTCCTTCTAACAGTTACAATAGGGACGGAAGTGTGCATAGGATGGACACTTGACTCCTGCATATCAAACGGAGGAAACAGAAGAATATTTTTTGGTTGAAAACAAAAAATTAATAAGTCATGGAAGAAGAAAAAAAATGTGACCTTTCCATATTCCACGGCGCAAAAAGTTTAACTGAAAAAGCATACAACCAGTGCGTTCAGACCGAAAGGAAAAAAAAAAAAAATGCATCTTCAGTTCAAGCTCATTATGCCATTTTTATAAATAAAAAAGCTTGCACGTTATTATATCGTTTGTTATCACTATATGTATATTTTACAATTGAGAGGTTGGGTTCCCCTTTCCCCTGCTCACCAACAACAAATGAGCGACAAAGTCTTCGAGTAAGACTTCATTATCATTTTATTATTATAAACAAATGAAAAGCAATAATAATGTTTAGGGGAACTAAACAAATTTGAAACATTCAACTCCAATTATCACTAATCCTCCCCCTGCTATTAGTTAGTTTATAAAGACAGAAGAGTTGCCTTGTACAATCTAATTCCCAACCAAACCTCGCTCTTCTTCTTCTTATTAATTTTCCAAAAGCTTCTTCTCCGTTCTCTTCTAATTACAGAATTAGATGCAACAAAAAAGAATCGTATTCGAAGCAGATGCAAACATTCAATGAATTGGACATAAAACCTACAAGAAAAGGCAAAAGAAAGAGAAACTGTACAATAAGGAAACATTATTCTTCTAGATGATAAGCTAGCTAGACATCTCATTCCAATCTCTCAACTACCTGGAAAAGAAGTTTTCTTTTTTGTATATTGAACATTGTTGCTCTCAAAAAGTGTAGATGTGGAATTATATGCTCCCAGAACCAAAAAAAAAATCAGAATCATCACCATCAATACCAAAAAAACCCCACATGGCATGAGGAGATGGAGCTATACTACATCTATATACCAAATTCCTCATATCTATCTATCTATCTAATTGGGCCCTATCTCATACTAGCCCATGTGTACCCCTCGGATGGGCCTTCTGTTAGTCAATGGGCTGCTGCTTTTTTCCTTCCTCGCCATCAGATCCAGATGGATCGCGAAGCTCATCCAGACTCCCAGTAATATAGTCCGGCAGGCCCACTGCACAGCGGAACATTTCATCTGTCCGATCCTGAATCTGCTCGTGTTCTGGATTCCCACCCTGATTTTTGTGTTGACTCTGGTCAGCCTGTGGCGGGTCCGGATTCCCATCCTGATTCTGATTCTGGATCTGAAGCCTGCCCCGATATTTAAAAAACACACAATGAAATTAGCCCATCAGCTCCGAAACTGGGCTGGACCTCAAATCAAAGATTTGGGCCCTTCTTAACAGAAAGTTAGAGTCTCGAGGCAGGCGGGCTACCGACCCGTCCTTCGAGGGTTCTGACTCGACCTTTTCTGGTTTCTGTACCCTGACTGACGGACTCCCTCGGCAGGAAAAGAAAAAAGAAAAGGAAAGAAACAAACTAAACTACTGGTCAAATTGCCAATGTCTCCCTAAAGAACTGACCAAGAATTGACTAATAAATAATTATCCTTCCCCCCAAAATTCCACTCCCCAATCGCTCAAATCAATGGCAGATGATCAATGCAAGAATCCATTCTAATTAATTCGCTAATCATTAGATTAGGGGGGGGGGGGGGGTGATTAATTGATTCGATTCAATTGGGTCGGCGTACCCGTCGTCGTGGCAGTAGAACCACTGTTCGTTTCGCCACTCGAGATGGAGGCGGACTTTGTAGAAGGGGCAATGTTGCTCCAGCCGGCGGGCGTCGTGATCGAGCCGGACGTAGAAATTGGGGTCGACGAAGCGGGTGACTCTGCCGACCCGCCAGGCGCCGTCGATGAATGCGTCGACACGGTCGTTGAGCTTACGGTTCTCGTAGGAGAATTGGGGCGGCAATGGGCGCATCTCGTCGGGGTCGACGGCCTCCATCAGGTACACTGTGTCGGTGTCGGTCTTGAGGGAGTAGCGGGTTTCGTACCGGACAAGGTAGCGCCTGTATCCGATGGCGGCGGCGACGGTGGCTCTGTAGTACGCCCCGGCGAAGCGCTCCGCCTTCTTGCAAATCTCCACCGTCTCGTTCAAGGCGTAGCACATGCCTTCTTTGGACTGGTGGGGAGGAGCAGAGCAGGGATTTCTCAGAGCAGAGGTTTTTCTTTTTTCCTTTTTCTTGTTTTGTTTCTTCTTTGATGGGAATCGTAAACCGGAGAGATGGATTGGTGAATGTGAAAAAAAACTGAATATTGATTGGCCCACCCTTTATAATAGCTTAACGGCTTCTGTTCGAGCTTAGGCTGCTTTAATCGTCTGTTTCTTGAATGATCGCTGCCGTTCAATTATTTCCTATGGACGCGGGATGCTTGACGCGTGGCTAACGGCAAATAGCTGGGGCCTGGGGACTGGAAGCGGTCTTCAGAATTATAATTCTCTTTTCTTTTATTTGGTGTAGGCAGTTACACATCGTTTTGGGGCTTTAGTTCAACTGATACAAACATTGGGCTCATAAACTGGGCTACGAAAGCCCATTCTCCCATTAGGCCTTTTTTTTTTTTACCTCCAGGCTCCCGCTATTAATGGCATGAGGTAAAATAATTTGTAAATGCTTGAGAATACATGACATGGTGGTTGATTGTCTTGACCACATATATGATTTCTACTTATTGCATTGGAGCTTGCTCATTAGTTAATAATTTATCACTGTATTTGTTGCACTCTAACTCAAAATCGTGATCTAAGTGAATTCATTGACAAGCCCATTTTTTCTTGTGTATCTTTATATCGTGAGAAGAGTGGGGAACAACATCCTTCATTGACATGCCACTGCCATTTAGTGGTTCAATACAACATCCTTCATTCAAAGAAGCAATGGCGATTTAACGTTCTTAGAGTTGGGATATTACGAGAGGAAGTTTTTTGAAATTATGGACGGGTTTTGAATGAGTTCATCCTGATAAGCTGATATCGAAAATGTTAATGAAAACAAACTGCAATTTTCGTTAGTATGTGTCGTTGAATCAAATCTAATTTGATTCAATAACAATGATCACACCTTCATCGTCATCATCATCACAAGAAGCAAGAATTTCCGAATGAATGAATATATAAGCTAGGGAGATGGATGAATCCAGAGTAGGTAATTGAGAGAGGCAGCAGTGAAATTAACCATACCAGATCCTCCTTGTACAAACACATTTAATGACGACGAATAAAAACAGAAATGAAACATGAAATTGAATGAAGAAAGGTTGTGTGTGTTTAGGCTTTTTGGTAGGTTTTGGCGTCATTCATACGTAAGGTAAGTTTTAGTAGATTTAGTTGTTAATGGAATGGAGTAGGTAGTTTAGTTATGGGACGAGGCCTTGAGGGGTGATGCCAAGTTCCCTGAGGACCTCGGCGCACTCGGGCTTAGCCTTGGTGATCAAGAAGCCCATGGGGCTGACCCTCCTGACCCCGGAGATCATGCCGTTGTTCTTGGTGATGCTGACCCTGGCCGAATCCTCCTTGTTCTTCTCCGGCTTGGGGATCCCGTTGCAGTCTGGCCTGGGGGACTTCACCAAGAACACCTCGCAGATCTCGTCCTCGTGGTCTCCCTGCACCGGAATGTGGTACACACCGTGCCTGTCGGAGATCGCGTCCGCGCTGAAGGTGATCGACCCGCCCTCCCGATCCTTACACTCCAGCCGCACCACTGCATCTGGCATGAACTCGGTGATCCTGGTGATGAACTGGGTGCGGCAGGTGTCGCAGTACACCTTGCCTTCCACTGTGAAGGTATCGGCACTGCCCGTGCCCACCAGGCCTAATAAGAAGCAGATCAGGGCTGATGCTACAATCAAAACCTTCTCCATTGTTTTGTTCAAGTATTGTGTTTTTTATTATCTTGCCTGTTTTTTGGGATGGAAGAGAAGAAGAGGCTTCCGTTTATATATATATATTACAAACTGTTTTTCATCTGTGGTTGTAAAACATTTTGACCCGCTCTTCTCTCTTTCTTACTTTTTAAAACAAATTCTTCCTATACACAATTCGTTTGGATGTTTGAGAATGAGAAGAAGAACTGTAGATGCTAAAATTAGCAATCAGGACAAGAAATATACTTTCAGCAACTGGACACAAATCTTTTAGTTGGTTAATTAATGGCATTTAACAAGAAGCAATTGCTGCTGCTGCTTAAAACCCTAAAGAGTAGTAGTAGTCCCCACACATCAAACCAAGCATTAAGAAGAAAATACAGGAGAAAAAAAAAGTGCAAACTTTTGGAACTTCAATTTCTCTAGAAACAAAGAATATTCGAGCTACATACTACTAACAACACCAACACAAGGGACACAAAACATTCTCCCAAGTCATATGATGATGGCCAACACCGCGCACTACCCCAGCTCCTCCATCCATTTGCTTCTCTCACTGCAAAGGAAGGGACAACATGATAGCAATGAGAATGAAATGTTTGACATGATAATGGAAAGGGAAAGAAATCGATCATCACGAGCTGAACAGATAACTAACCTCAGCATCTTCACCTCCACCGCCCTTTTCGAGCTTACCTTCTTCTGCCATCAGTAAGACCAACATTAACACAAACAAATCACCCACAAAACATGTTCAATAAAGAACAGGGATATTCTTTTAAGGAGGCAGCTAGGTACTTAGCAAGTTTACTATAAGCTATATCCATGAGCTTACATTCAGTGTGTATTAGATTGACAACCGATTGATTGCAATGGTATTGCAAAGAATTTAAGAGCCAACACAATGAGGAGCGGAAATGGTTCCACTGTGCTAATGAGGCAGAGGACGACAAATTTAATAGCAGAAAGCAGACAGCTTACCACCATCGTCTGGGATGTCAGAAGTCCACAAAGTCAGGTTATCCCTTAAGAGCTGCATGATCAATGTGCTATCCTTGTAAGATTCCTCGCTGAGAGTGTCCAGTTCATGGATTGCTTCATCAAAAGCTTGCTTTGCGAGGTGACAAGCCCTGGAAAAAAGTAAGATACTATCATGAGGAAGTTCCAAAAATTTTGCTACCAAAAGAAAGAAAATACTAAGCACCCCCAAGACATTTTTGTAGTAAAACGCTGAGTAGGTCGAGGCAAACCTTTCAGGAGAGTTGAGAATTTCATAGTAAAACACTGAATAGTTCAAGGCCAAACCCAGCCTGATGGGGTGTGTAGGAGGCAGATCAGCCTCTGCAGCAGTAGAAGCCGCCTGCAACGGGAAATAAGAACAAATAAGAAATAAAATTAGAGTTTTAGAGTTTTGGTAAGCAAACAAGCATATAAATACAGTGGAGATCTATCAGTAAGAGATCAAACCAGATATGCCTTCATGGACTGATCAGCAACCTCTTTCCTCTCATCACCGGCCTTAAATTCTGCTAGGTACCGGTAATAATCTCCTTTCCTGCACCAAGCAACACAAAAGCCCATCAAAGTATGAAACTATAACATACGATGTTGTTACAAAACCTCTGTGACACTAAAAGCCCATCAAAGTATGAAACTTTAAACAAAAAAGGTGCATCACAATAACCATTGAGCAAATACGAGAAAAAAGTAGACATTATAGACTACACAAAGAAATAAGACTTAGTTTCAGAAAGAAATTTTGCCTTTGAGGATGAATCAATGCTAAAACATCCAGACAGATTGAAAAGGAACTCACATCTTGTAGAAAAAGACAGTGGATTCTGCACCAGAGCAAGAAGGAATCAGATGTTCATCAATCACAGTCATCACATCGGTGCAAATATCGGACAGCTCAGTCTCGACCTTCTGCCTGTACCCTTTGATTCGCTTCACATTCTGATCATTCCCTTTCCCTTCCTCTTTCTGTTCAATGGATGACAGTATCCTCCATGATGCTCTCCTAGCACCAATCACATTCTTGTATCCGACAGAGAGTAGGTTCCTCTCCTCTATAGTCAGCTCTACGTTCAGCGTGGCCAATTTCTTCATTGCATCGACCATTTCTACAGAGATCGGGAATACACAAAACAGTGCTCGTTAGAAAGTCAAAACCCTAGGTTTAAGGCCTCGTTTGATTGCTCAAACTTTTATCAATGAATTAGGACAATAATATCGAACATATTTGCTTCTCGTCAACGGCTTATTAGTTCACCCGATTCACCCATGGGCACTCACAGCGTAGAGACAAATCGCTCATTCAAGATAACTACGATTTCCACGGAGGTATACTATCAAAAAGAGAAGCGATCCCGCACCATTCAGGCAGTATGAAGGGTGAAAAAGTGGTCAAGAATCTTGCGAAAGAACTGAATAATCATACTGCTAGTTCATTTCCTCTAAATCTCAGTCCAAGACGAACGGGAACACAAAGTAACGAAACGATTAAACACAGAATCGTGATATCCACTCGCCATACTTCCACTTGCTCAAATTTTCTCAGCAACCAAACGGAAATGCAGGACATTTGAGAGGGGGAGATGGAACGTGAAGGGAGAAGAATCAATAAGTATACCTTCATAGCGCTCAGCTTGCTCAGCGAGTTTTGCCGTGTAGACGCAGCTGTCTCGTTCATTGGTGGCCGCCATGATCGATCTGTGTTCTCCCGGGGAGGAAAGGATCAGCTAGAGGTGCAGAGACTTCACTCTCCTTTTCTCGTTCTAGATTCCCCCTCGCTCTTTGCTGCTTTGTTTTTCTCTCTCTAGTCTCTAGAAAGAGGGGCTGATTGTAAGAAGAAATAGGACGGAGAATGAGACACGGAGTCGCGACCCGAGGAGAATGGCCCGGGTCCGCGGGAGACGCCGGCCCAGTGCCAGTAGGCGCTACTCCACTCGCGATCTGAACCGTGGGAAACACGTGCAGTACCAAACGGCGTCGCTGTCGCCCTCCTACTCCCGTCGTGGAAAATATTAAGTACCGAAAGAGGTGGACTCTGGTCTCTGGTGATTGTCAACATTGCCTGTAATAAATCAAAATTAAAGTGAGAAGAAAAATCAAAACTAGTTATCAGTGATTTCTTCTTATAATTTATTATTGGAAAATATTATATTTTCATTCAAATAAAATTAAACAGGATTTGGAGGTCATTGCAAGTCTGCAACTCCATAATAAGTTGCATATCAACTATTTATGACGTTGATTGAATTTGCACATATCGTTTAAATAGTGAATTTACGAAATGAGATAAATTGATTCAGTTGTTTCACAACTTGTATCTTTTAAAAAAATGCAATCTCACAATACTTGCTTCCATTGTCAATTCCAATAGATGCAAAATGAGACAATTCAAATTTTCTCGACCCAATTTTTCATTCTCATTTTATGCCAAACAAATCTATTTGACCTACATGTTTCATTTTTTAGACAACTCAGCCAAATTTCACCTCATCAAAATATTGAATGCAAACGAAACTCATATTGCATGTTTGTTCAGTCAGACCTTCGATTCTCTAACTGCATTGCACGTTACACTTGCTCTACAAAACACCAAATTCTATCACAACAATAAAAGGTTGGACAGATACTTCATAAACGAGACAACACAAAAACAGTCAAGCCAATTTAGGGTTATCCCCAGACACCCCTAAATCTTGGGAAAAAGATTATCCAACAACCGGTAGTAATTTACGTATTGACAAAAAAAATATAATTGATAGTCGGGGACACCCCTAAATTTAAAAAAGTGATTATCCTACTCTCATCTTTTAGTTTGAGTATGAGAATATAAGTCGTAGTTTGGATAATTCAAACCTAGGACACTTTTATTATTAATAAACATAATTTTCATTAGGCTACAACTCATATGTTATTCGATTTTAAACACTGTGTAATAGTATGATGTCATTCTCTATCTCTAATTATTTTCAAAATCTAACAATTAAACAAATTTCAAGCTACCCTTAATTTGTATTGATTTATGGTTGTACAACAAGTATTGAAAGAGTCTTTTCAGCTTTGGATTACATCAAGAACAAGTTTAGAAATTGAAAATGTAATCAGTTCGTGAATGATTGTCTAATATGATATACAGAGACAATTTTTTTGAATAGTGTAGACCCCAAGTGTGTTCTACAATCATTTTTTAATATGAAAACACATTGTGAATTTTTTCAAACTGTATGAGTAAAGTATTTCTTATTTAAATATTATTTATTTATTATTAATTATTTTAGAATTATTTGTATTTAATTTATTTTTAAAAGAGGACACCGCTATATAAAATTTCTGGGTCCGCCACCGAGCCAACTCTTATCATAATTTTTTTGTTCTTAGAAACCTTATAATAATCTGAACTTACAAAAGAGAGGCAAGAATTAAAAAGAACAGATTAATGGAGAAAAGTAATATAGCACGCCCAGTAATGATATCGCCGAATGTCGTGGCTTTCAATGTGCACAGCTAGCTTTCTCTAATGTGAAGGAAAATGTACAAGAATGATCATCTGTCCTTTTCAAAATTATCATAGAAAAAGGAAGAACGACGACTAACTCCAACCCATAAAGGGGAATTTAGCTCCCCAAATGGCCAAATATGACTTTTTAGCTCCCCAAACTCACTTTTCACTCCAACCCTATAAAAAGCTAAATTTAGCTTCCCATTTCCCTTTTTCAATTTATTTCAATAAACCATACTTATTTGACCTCTAATTTTTATATTTCACTTTAATTTTTTCATAGCTCGTTATTACTTTTGAATACAAATTTTTCGATGTAATTTTTTTTAAATTCCGAGATAATTTTTTTTTCAAAAATTAGTCGTTAAAATATTACCGTTAAAACTTCGGGACCACTCCAAATATGACCGTTTTTTTGTATCCGTTACTTTACCACTGTTTTTTTGTCATTTTTTGCACCAAATGTCTTTATAAATGACAGTTCTTCATTTTCATCAACTCAACTAAAACTTCTTCCCATTTCTAAAACAAACACATTCATCATGAGTATCTCAGATAGCTCATCGTCTGGAGAAGAAGAAAACGAAGAGTACGAAAGGTTTCACCACCTACGTTTGAGTTTGATCGGTCGGAGGCTGGCTGAAGGTGCATCAAGTCGCCGTCAAACTACAAGCCGACGTCACATTGATCGTGAGAGGGTCGAATGTAATCGACGTCTTATGAGGGATTCCTATTTTGAGAGACGATAACAATTGAATTTTGAGAGAATGCGATTTATGCTCTGAGAATGAGTGAAGAGAAATCTATGAAGAGTGCTGTAATATATAAGAAAAAATATGGCCGTTAAAATATGACCTTTTTTTATGGCCGTTAAAATATGACCGTTTTTTCGTCACTACATCAATTATTTCAAATTTATATTTCAAATTGAATCACAAACCACCAATGAGAATAGAGGAAAAAAATCCAAAACAAATTGGCTCCCCAAATTCCCAACCAACAAAAGTTAAAAGAAAAAAAAAAGGATAACAGGTCAGCTGGAAGGAGAAGGGCGCCGGACGCGCGCCTGGGGCGCACGCGCGCGGAGGAATACCTTCCCCCGCGCGCGTGCGCCCCAGGCGCGCGTCCGGCGCCCTCTCCTTCCAGCTGACCTGTTATCCACTTTTTGGCAGCCATATATCACTCCCCACCCCAAAACCCAGCCATATTTCCCTTCCAAAAACCCAATACCCATTTTTGGCTTCCCATTTTTTTGTGGGTTGGAGGAAGAAAAAAAGCCAAATATGGCTTTATAGCAATTTGACACCATGGGTTGGAGCTAGCCTAAGCATCAAAAATTCAAAGTGGCCTTTAGTTCCCTAAACGAGCCAATATTTGGAGAAAGGACAGGGAAAATGAAATACCAGATAGGTACTAATTAACGCCATAACTATTTAAATTTATCGCCCTAATTTAAGTAAGTTGACGATTTTGCCCCTAAAAAATTACCAATCTCTAACTCGTAACCCTAATTTTGCTTTGTCAGCTGCCAACCGCACATATTTTCCCGCCGCCGTTCGCCTTGGAAGAATTCCTCGCGGAGGATGGTCAACCCTCTCTAATCCGGAGAGCTGTTGATCGCACGGAAAGCCGTTCGGAAGGAAGGTTCGGGTCGCGGAGCCGTCATCCAAAGAATCATCGGCGGGAAGAATCATCGCCGCCGTCACTCGAGAAATCATCATCGTCGCCCTAATCATTGCCGGCGTTCGCCTTGGAAGGGATCCCTCACACCATGCCTGCTCGGTGCGCTGATCGAGGTCACAGAAAGAATCTCGTCGTCGTTCCTGTTCGGATTCGTTTCTCTCATCTGCGTCCTCAATCGGCGGAGCGACAGTTCTGGTGGCGGAGACGATGCGGAGCGAGCAGGCCTGAAAGCAGAGCAGTCGCGCGAGATTCGAATACCAAGTAGCAGGCAGCTGCGGCGAAGTTGGCGAAGGTTTTCGTCAGCCGTCGGCGACGAGCAGACATATTGGGGATTATGGCGATGGGTTGGGGGCCCCTGTTGCTAGACGAATCCAAGCCTTCTTATGGCTAGCGACTCAGCAACGCTTATTGACAAACCATGAGCGGCAGCGGCGGCACCTGACACCCACGGCGATATGCCCCATTTGTGGAGGAGGACCCGAGAACAATGCTGCTTGGGGTAATAGGGGCAATATTTTCTGTTCGGTTAATTTAGGGCGAAAATTTTAAAAAGTCAGGTGCGTTAAATAGGAATCCAGATACAAAAAAGGACGAAATTAATTTGCAGATATATGTAAGAGTGGAATAATAATAATTATTATTATGGGAAAAAAACCCTCCATGTATCCATCTGTAGGATTCCTTATGCTCAACAATACAGCGAACTTCCTCGCTTCCCAATCGGTTAATCGGTAACCGAAATTCCACCCCTATATTCAGAAGGCATTATCAAATACAGCTAGGGCTATTTCATCGTATAATGGGTGATATTATGTTGTTTGATCCCTCATTTGCACTATGGCGTGATGTTCTTAGTCAGTATCCCAATCACTAGAACAAAATCTTATAACGTATGATTCTCTCGCTTATCAACTTGATGATTATGTTCGTATGGGTGAGAGCACAAATATAGATATATTAAGAAATTGTCATTTCCCCACAAACTGTCATTTTCAAATATCTTTTTCATTGATTAGAACCAAGGTTTGTGAACACCGTACTGTAGGTCATGCTATAAAAATTAGTAACAAAATATTTTGTAGTCAAACCGTGATTCAACTGTTTCTTATCGCTAAAATCAGTTACCATTTTAAATTTGATATCAGGTATTTTCAGTTGGACCGACTGATACAATATGGTTTTACACCCGCTTCCACCCAAATTTCCAAATATCCAATTGTGAGTGGTGTATTGGAGTTGATCTTCGGGGGCAATTTTTATTTGTTTTTACTTTGTACACATGTTAGTTGAGTAGCATGGCAATGGGTCGGGTCGGAGATGAATAGTGCATATTCGTTACCCTACCCAAATTAGTTTGGGTTTTACCCATACTCATACCCACATGTGAAACGGGTAGAAAATTAAAACCATGCCCATACCCATTCGGGTTTCGGGTATCCGCGGTTATCCATGGGTAATGATTTTTCTTCATAACTATAACCAATATGTTAACATTCACACGTATTCTCACATTACGTAAGAAGAAAAGTACGACAATAATTCACTAGAATGAAGAAATTTAATTAAAACAATACAATTTCATGAAAATTAATTAAAACAACACAATTTCATGAAAATATTATATTTATATGCTAAATATAAAACATGTTAGAGAAAAAAATGATTATTTCTAGATAGAATACATATGCATGTGTATAATCGGGCGAGTTCGGGTTGGATAGTGAGAAACTCATGCCCACCCATTACCCGCAATATTCGGGTTCGGATTTTACCCATACCCACTAAATGTCCTTCGGGTTCGGGTTCTACTCTACCCGATTAGGCCGGATTCGGGCGGATATCCACGGTTACGGATATTTTTGCCGTGGTAGTGACAACACAAAAAGTCAAAAACGGAAAAGGAAACAAATATTGGGGTCATGTACCACGCAAGCATGTGACTCAAGTAGACGATAAATGCCTTATAATAACGTCCCATGACCCTCGTCTCACATCCAGAGCTATCATGGCAGCAAGAAAGCGACGTATTTGCTTTCGGTAATAGATGTTGCAGTTGTAGTTGCAACGCAAATAGGCTTTGCTGCAAATCAATGATAATGATTTCAGGGTATCCAAATAGTTACATCCTTCCCTTGCACTAGGATCTCTAGATATGTTGACGCTTCTATTCTATACTACGCTCATCCTAAAGTCGTATAATGGGGAGTTCTGGTATTCCACCCCTAGTGCTAGTAGAAGAAAGAGGTTTTCATCTCTTTGACTTCCATTCCATACTTCAACAGATTACAAGCTAGCAGTTAAGTGGGACGAAGAGGGTTCTTGCTGCTTCAGGCTTTCTGCAACGTGAGCGATAACTCCAGCCCCGGCATTATGGAACCATTCGTTTTTCACCTGTCAAAAGTACCGTCCAACTGTTGTTAGATGAACTGGAGTCGGGTAAAGAAAAAATCGATAAATGGAAGAGAGGGAACGGAACGGTACGTGTATGTTGTTGTGCGCAAAGAATGGCCAGAATGCTGAGTGAAAGCTGACATCCACCTTTTTCCATCCCAACTGCTGCAGACCGTGTATCATTTCCTCTGCCAACCAGGAGAAAGAAGAAAACGAATGTAAATGTGAAAGAATGCCGTTATGTCACCAGTCATAGAGGTCGGGGGTAGGTCATGGTTGAGTTGGATGATGAACAGGACGGAGGCGTCAAGTCTCTTTCTCTTTTACCTTCCATAAGTTCATGATACTCTGATGTATTCTTGTTGCTGGGATCATTCTGTGCTGCTGCTTTGGCTTTTGCTGCTTCTGGAGGGAAATGGGGGCCGTCGGTAGAGACTGGAGGGCAATACTCGACGTCTACAACATGCTTGTAACCATCCAATGATCGTCGAGGGGGCTGCAAAGAGCCAAACATGCCTTTAGTCAATTGCCTGTGAACAACAGATGCTTAGTTAAAGCAATAAGCCTCACGTTCATTAGTTCTGTCTCTCTTCTAATGGAGGAAGTGCGCCACCCAACCATGTCTTGGTTAGTTGTGTCAAGGAAGCTAATCACGCAGCGAAGGAAGAAAGTAAAGATGTCTTATAAAATTATATATGATGCATAGGATACGGTCATAAGACACATTTGCATACACTGTGCGGCATCTGAATGCCCCAAGGGCAGCTCTGCAGCCAAAAACACGGAAACGAATAAGAAATACTGCTTCGAGTAAAGTTATTTCTGCTGGAGGCATGCTTCTATTATACATTTATACTTACAGAAATTTTCCTTCTTCACAGTTTGATGTCATTCTTAGAAGCAGAGGTGGTTTGTTGGGCTGGCCATCAGTAAGAAACAACTCCTTACCAGTTTTGCCCACAAAGATATGGGCGATTGGAGGAACAAGTTTCTCTAAGAAGGGAATTCCTAGGAGAAGTGGTAGCTGCAGAAAAGCAAATACTACAATCAAAGCAGACTACACATAACCTAAGATACGTTACACAGATACAGGTAAGAGAATGCTATTTTCAGCAAATATACGGAATCAAGGAAGTTTGCTAAGTGACACTATCAAATAAATCTTTCAACTTGATTATTTTGATAGTTACTCCACAACATACTGGACCAAAAAATAGACATCAATATAACAAACCTGGTTTCTACCTCTGACTCCAAGATGAGGAGTTGCTAACGTAATAAAATTGACAGGCTCCAGTCCAGCAATTCTACCACTTCTTGAAGAGCTTGCCTTTCGGGGACGAGTGGCAGAATCAACATCGTCATTAAGTTTGAGCTGATTATTGGTGTAATCTGAATAAAGGACTGTAATCGCATATCTTGCAAACAAACCGCCAAGAGAATGAGCTAAAAAGGAAATCCTTCTCAGACTCTCTGTATTGCTTACAACTTGTTTGACCTGTACATTAGATCTACAAGGATCAATACAGGTGATTGCCTGCTATACACAAAATCCATAAAGAAAAAGAACTAGTGGATGCTGCTCGTATGTCCACTAGAGCAATACAACTTACTTCTTCTGCTAGTCGTTTGCCAGCTTCATCTATGCCACCAAAAGTTTTTGTGAAGGTGTTTGATGAACTTGCTGCAAACAGACACTCATGATATTAGATTCTTCCCATATAACGAACTTGTAACCAATTATCCAAGAGAACTGTGTTCTACTTGAAAGAACAGATCTAATTAAACCTTGCTGCCTCCGAGCCCTTCTCACAGCCCATTCGTATTACCAGTTCATAGTGGAAATATTGTCTTTCCACTATATTGTGTCTAAAACTTTTCCAAGCACACAGAACAAGTTACAGAAAGGAGAGATAGTAGCGTACCATATAACATAAAATTTCTTCCAAGGCGCTTTTTCAAATCTGCTTGAACATAAGTCCAGTCATTGGGGCTGCAGCAGAAGCAAACAAACATCTTATTTATATTTATAGTCCACAATGGAAAATGAAGCTTATCAACTTATTTAGAATGCAGGATTAAGGTCACGCAATTTTGTTGATCATAGTCAATCCAAAAGCATCAATTAGTCGCTTATGTGCGCAGTGCAGTAAGTTGCTCAAATAATTGTAGCAGCAGAAAAGTTAAACTATAATCGATCTCTGAACTTTCTGAAATCATATCGTGAATTGAATTGGATGATACAAACCTAGCAAGGATGCCATGAACAAGAACAAGAAGATGATCAGGGTCATTTCTTCCATTGGTCAGTACATCGGAGGATTGAAAACTTCCTTGAGAGGCCGTATCCATTGCTTGGGCTCTAAAATCTTGATGTTTCCAATTACTATTTACACCTGCAAGAGATTGTCTGATGTTTCAAGAACTGAAGAACACTTCCTGAAAATCATCTATGCTTGAGTACACCTGAAAACTACTAGCAAGCCTCGTTCACAAAGAAGGATGGCTAGTTATATAGTCCAAGCTGTATGTTAGAGGAACTTGATGCCATGGCAACATAACGACGAACACGATATAATGCTTTTTCGGTTCCAATAAGTTCCAACAGATTACATGATCCTCTGAGCTTCCTTTAGCAACCACCTTTGTGCAACACCATAGGAAGCAATAAAGCTTGGTAATCAGAAGCTCTAGCTATTTATCAACCCAAGGCCATATATATCTTAAAATGTTTTAAAAGCTAGGTTAAGGGGACTGGTTCTCCAAGCGGCTATATACATTTACCCTTAAAAACGCCAATCAATCTAACATTTTCGTCCATGGCCAATCGTCCATCCTTGGGCATATGAGTTACACATCAGACCTAACCCTGAACTAGCTTGCAACAATTTGCCGGCAGGAAACACACTATCACTACCATCTTTAACAAGCTTCATCATTTCAACAGCAATCTAGAAACTTATGATCAAAACATAATGAATCTCGACAAAGCCAATTCTCAAGGCAGAAACACAAAATTTCGTCATGGTAAACTTCAAACATCTCCAGAAATCCAACCAGGCAGCGAGGTAAAGCTTACCCGCCAGGCCAATCTGCTACGCAAACTTACAAACTATACCATGATCAAAAGCAAATTAAAGACAGAGAAAGGAAACCCAGAAAAATTTACCGGCAGAGAAGCTGAGTCCCGGAGAGGAAGAACAGGAGCAGGAGGAGCAAGAAGACGGAAAAGAAGAGGAGGACGAAGAAGCTAGAGGTGAATAAGCTCCTCCATTCCTGGAAACGTGACGGGACAAGGTAGGAGAGGAATAGCCACAACCAACCGGTATAACAGATGGCGCGGCCATTTATTTCGGTTTGCTGCTATTTATAAAGGTCGGGGGATGGGTGGGAAGGGCCTAAAGATCTGGGACTGATGGCGCTGGCTGGACAATGGAGATGGAGAGAGAGAGACGAAATCTGCAAGTTTCCCTGTTCCCCGCTTTTCAATGCATTTTAGTCATAATCGCCACCATTCATCCGTTCACGGCTTCACACAATTTTGGAAGTTTGTTTGTTTGTTTGTGGGGGTTATCTTCTTAATTTCTTCTCGTCTCCTACGTCTTCCGTATTCACAGCGGAGGGATGAACCTGTCTGTCACAAACTTGTCCAGTTGACAGTTCGCCCATGCCGAATCGCCAATGCGTTCTCTCCTCTCTGGCTCTCTTTTTGTTTTGTTTCGTGTTTTCTTTTTGGTAAGATTCATTTATCTTCTCTACCCCTTGCCCCTTCTAATTTGATTACTTATTTAATTATTTTGAATATAACTACAATTTTGGCTGTTTTTTCCGCAGGTTAATAAATTTAATTAACCATAACAATTTTATCGGATACCTTTAAAATGCTGAATCGCTATTCGTTGCCTTAATTTTTTTTTTTTAAATAGCCCTAAACTCTACTAAATTGACGTTTATACCCTAACTCCAATTTTCCTAATCTCTAACTTCAAGTGACGACTGTGTCGTCCTACCCACCAGCTCATTGCCGCCCGTCGCGGTCGTTCCCCAAACCCGCTGCAACTCCCATTTCCCTGACCCACCATCGTTCTATCTCCCCATGGCGCCGACCCTTCGATCGTCTTACATTGAAAAAATCTAGCAGGTGAACAGATGGAATAAGACTGCACATACACCTAACATAACCACGCCTATCATCCACTCCAATTTCATTTTCTGATATAACCTTAAGTTCCTCCAATGAGTAAGGAATCAACCCTTAATTTCGATCAACATAGGTTAAATCAATCAATTGATAATAGATGATAGAACCCCTAACCAATTTCTAAATTTCCACAAATACAACTACAAATTTCAAAGAATTGGCTCATCCTTTCCCTTTCAAGTTCTCGCGCTCGATTCTACCCGTGATTAAGCAGGACGGATGCGCTGGCGAGTTCGGTGGCAAGGCGCGACTCGTTGCTTTTGATGATGCTTCGAGGTTGGATTTTGCGCTGCCCTTAAGCTGAGAGAGAGAAAGAGGCTCGATGGCCGACAAGCTGGGCGGCGGCCGCCAGAAGGAAGACGAAGACGTACAGGCGAAATTGAGGATTTTTTTTCTCCGGTGAGGTGGCCGGCACCGATGCCGAGTGAATGTATGTGGTGATTGTTTTATTTTTTTTATTACATGGTGTTGTTTTAGAGTTTAAGATTGAAAGAAAAAAAATACTAAGGGTATTAGAGTAAATTTAACATAATTAGAGCAATGAATAAGGATTTTTAGGGCGACCAATAGCAATCACTGTCATTCGATTTTTTTTATTGCTTTTAGTCATTAATTTTAACATTTTGTTTCATTGCTAGTCATTGACTATCCAACTATTCTAAAATCGTCATAGGTAGTCAAGTAAAAGTTTTGACAACTAAATAATTGACGTGTCAAAATTAGAAAATGATAGAAATAAAAATTATTTGAGATTTTCACATATCTATAGCACAAAATTCAAATATGAATCCCCATCGGCGACCACCATGGTCGAGCTGCATATCTCATACGCTTATCGATTAACCATTAACAAAATTTGTGATTACCGCTAATGTACCTTTTATCAAAGTTTGATGAATCAATTAATGGACAATGTGCAGGTTTTGTCCACTTTTAAAATTAACTAGTTGGATTTGGGTCTTCTAAAATTGGCGGGTTGGGTCTGCGTTTGTCAACACCCAACATATTCTCCAATTGCCCCACAACCAACATGTTTTCCTTCTCCTTCATTTTCCTTCCTTCAATTTTTCGGAAACCGAGTATAAATCTTGTCCTTGCTCGTTTTGTTCAAAATCGATATTATTATATAGTATGCATACCCATAGTTTATGATGTTGTACTTGTACCCATCAACCAATTCAAGATTATCTTGAAATCACCATTGATATCATCCTCTCCTTTCTTATTTAGAATCTATGTTTATTGTGAACTTTCCCCTAAAACAGTGGCAGAGCCAGGTTATTGGTAGGAGGTATTTTAGTCCCATCAACTCTTAAACTTGTGTAAATTTATATGTAAATTCAGAACAATTTTTGAAAATAAAGTAAATGGTAAGACTTTAACTCGCCTCCCTCATTCAAATCTCTAAAAAAAAATTAATTTTTAGCATCCTTCATTTAATTTATGACTCAGCATCTGCCTAAAAAAGAAAAGTTGATAATAACACGTTCGCTTAATCGAACTATATGACTTCAATCTTTCTTAACGCTGAGCATGGCAAGTATAAATATCTAAATATCCATTTTGTCATATAATCTTTTAAAGACTTCCAATGAGATTAAAGTTCCTAAAATCCAACAACATTTACAACTTTAAATTACTATCGAACAACTTTCATCATAAGCAAGACTTTAGCAGTAAATAAAAGTAACAGAATACACACTAATAGCTAGTCCAGCAGGTTGATGACTGCAACAACCTCGTCTTCATCTCCTTCCAACTCCTTTTGCATTCCAGCTCCATTTGATACATAACAACCTCTCCTTGCAAAATGGGATACATGGCACCGTTGAATTTCCAACAACCCAATCAATCGAAATCCGGTGTTCTAGGATGAACATCCTCAGCTAGATAGTGATCTAACTCGGTGGTACTACAGATGTTCTGGTTTTCTTTCTTTGGCTAACATGCAGATCGAAATCCAAATCTGTGGCCGAAGAAGTAGGATGAATACTATACGATACAATAATGTTTTTCGTGGATTTTCTTTGATACTCAACAACCAAGTTAGCAACATCTGATCTGATCCTTTCACTCACTAGATAAGTACTAGTGATATCGAATTTTCCAACATAGTAATCAACCCGATCCAATTTATATCGCGGATCCAACATAACAGCAACAACTAACAGTAAATGAATGTCATCCCAATACTTGACAAACTTATTCCACATGTTTTTAGTCATAGAAACAATCATCGAATTAGGATCACTTAACCATTCCTTCAACCGTAACCTCAAGTCACAAACTTTAGGAAAAAACTAATTCGCTGTTGGGTAGTTTGTACCAGAAAAAACTAAAGTTATGTCCTTGAAAACATAAAGCTTGTAAACAAAAACAGCAACAAAGTCCCACTGCTTGTTGGTAGACAGAGAGTTGTATTGAGGATCCCTTATTTTCAATATAGAGAACACTTCCTTATACGAGATAGCACCAGAAAGCATCTTGTAGGTGGAATTCCAACGAGTGGGACAATCTAACACCAACTTCTTAGAAACAAATAATTTAAGTTGTTGGGTAGTTGCATGGCAAAACTCCACTCTCCTAGGTGTGCATGTCCAAAAGACTACACTCTACCTGATTTTCTCAATACCATCTTTCAATACATCAAGACCATCCCTCACAATCAGATTAAGGATGTGAGCAGAGCACCTCATATGAAGAAGTGTCCCATCCCTGATTAGATTCGATAACACTAGCCTTTGTTTAATTAGATTTATCATGGAATCATTGATAGTACAATTGTCAAGAGTAATTGTTGACAATGTACTATCAATGTTCCAAGATCGGAGGCATTGAGCTAGCTTTGTGGCCATCCTCTCACTAGTGTGTGGAGTTAGGAGATATCCAAACATAAGCAGATGGTTTCTCAACTTCCAAAAGTTGCTTATATAATGGACAGTGACAGCCATGTAATACCTTTTTTGGTTTGTGGCAGTCCACATGTCAGTGGTGACAGCTATCCGACCTTGATTTTGATCAATGACCTTTTGAATCTTAGACCTCTCTAAAACATAAATCGTAACTATATCATTCTTTCTGGTATTTTGGGTTGGAACTTTGAAGAGAGGGTTCAAGGTGCATCAAAACCTTTTGAAATAAAGGTGGTCAACAATAGAACGGGGATACTCATGCACCAAGATCATGGTGCTGAGCTCCTTTCTAGACACCTCACTACTAAACTGATTGGTACTCATATTAGTTGTTCCCTTGGAACTATAGTCAGACCCAAGGACCTTTTGTCTACCATCGTGATTTTTTTATGAACACAACGGTTCCTATGAGTCCTAAGATGAGAAATACCATTACTTGACTTTCCAGCCAAAATCTTCTTATCGTAGTTGCATTTTGCTTTCAAAACCTCATTAATTAACAGTCTGGTGAACTGAGACCACACATCAGACTTTAAATACCTACTAGCACCTCAGGGATTTTGAGAACAACATAAGGTTTTCAAGATTACCAGGAGGAGGAAGTACATTTTCTCCATTGTTATTCTAAACTGGTGCATTCTTGATCACTTGAATCCGTGCAGGTTATTTTCAGGGGTTAGCACGTATCAACAACTATCCCATCCTAGGCCAAGTTTAACCTAGAACGACATTGTCGTATAGTGGTAATCAAGGTCGTATTCTACTCGGGTCCTGGTACCAATGCAGTCAAAATCGCGCTTTAAAACTTAAAAGCTTACGCTTTTACCTTTTTAGTTCACCAAAATGCTTCTATGTAGAATCGTGATTTTCCCTTACAAATGTAGTCAAAATCTACGCTTTAAAACTTAAAAGCTTACGGTTTTACGCTTCTAGATCACCCGACCGCTTCTGGGTAGAATCACGCTTTTGACTGCATTGCCTGGTACCCAAGCCTACTTCCCACCTAGTTGCTAATTAGTTAATCGGTTTTTGAGGTTTTGAGTGGAGGATATGAGGAAACACTAGTCTAGAGATTGATCAAAGCTAAAAGTATGTACTTCGGGGAACTATCCCTCCCCCTAGTTTAGGGTTACTATGTATATTTAGATACTTAGGGTCATTGAATGTGGTGAGTGAGCTCTTTTCCCTGGGCTTTCGTGGCGCCTTCGAATACGCATCCCCTAAACCCATGTTC